GCTACCCAAGCGCCTCCGTCTTTCATAGAGAACGAAAACTGAACGAGCTTCACTTTTTTTTACTTTGTTTAGTTGTGCGATACGGTAGCTTGTCCGGGCGACGAGGTCGCTTGCCATCGAAAACGAAAGTACAGCATTCCGATGATCCTCCCAGCCCGCCACTTCCTCTGTTGACGCTTATCAACAAGGCCTATGTCGAATCTAAAACAACTGCCTCACCAACACCGAACGTTGGTTCTTTTTTTGTTGAAAATTCGAGCATGATTTTTCAAATATGGTACCTCTTTTGTTTGTCGAAAAAACGAACATAATAGTTTTGACCCTTCACTTTTGCTTCCTTATGAATTCAGTTCTTCTCAACCGTTTTTAACATCTTTTCGATCAAATTTTCCCCCGGGAAAACAAAATTCATCGCTTTCTGGGCATATTTGCCAGTTTTGTTCCTATCTGTCTAGACAGTTTCCAGGAAATACTGACGATTTGCAACCGATTTTGGTATATCATGTTTCAGTTTCTGCTGCTTCAAACAGAACTGAGCATCTAAAACAGTTGAACATCATGCTTTTAGCCTTTGCTTATCACCGCGTTTAAATCCATCTGCTAAATCAAGACTCTGAGCGCTTAGTAGTAGTAACAATAATAACAGTAGTAATAACAATATTAGTAGTAACAATTACTGATGATAATAATAATGGGAACAATAACAGTAATGGTAATAACAATAACAGTAACTGTAACAATAGCAATAACATTGACAGTAATAACAATAATAGTAATACAGCAGTAATAATGAAAGAACGGATATTAAGATCGCTTGAACAATCATACGAGCACCCTTTTTAGTGAATTACTGATATGCTAGCCTAGACACGGAACGCAGCCATGCCAGGGCTGTTCAGTTTTGACTTGCGTACCTCCGGTTAGAACCCACCGCCTGTTCGATGCAAGTAAGCTGGCTCTTCGGGAACCTCTTGTGTTGCCGTTTTTCAGCATTTCCGTGCATAGTGTATTATTCAATTAAAAATGCTCGCATG